TATATATATATATATATATATATATATATATATATATATATAAAAAATATAAAAATACTTCTATAGATTAAAAACATTAAAATGAGTTAAAAAGTAAAAATACTTCTATATAGATTAAAATATATTTAAAATGAGTTAAAATAGATTAAAAATAGATTAAAATGTTAAAAATATAAAAATGCTTCTCTATAGATTGAAAATAGATTAAAATGAGTTAAAATATAAATATATAGATTGAAAATAGATTAAAAATGAGCTAAAATATAAATATATATAGATTAAAAATAGATTAAAATGAGTTAAAATATTAAAAATTCTCACTCTCTCTCTATATATATTAAAAAACATACCCCACCCCTGGATGTGGCAACCATCATAAATAGGTTGCCAAGTGGCTGAATAACTATGGTGCAAAGTGTGAAAAATGGTCATAAGTCACTTTTTTCAGTGCCGTTGTTACTTCAGTCACTAAGTGGAACCGTTGTAAGTCAAAGACTACCTATATTGGCTTGTCTGCCTGGAGGTTCTCTTTTTATTACTGTGGAATAAACTCTGTGGAATAAACTCTGACTCAAGAGTTCCTCTGAGAACGTACAGATTGGTTTTTGCTTCTGCAGAACAAGAGCAGTTTCTACACTTAAAAAAAAATAAAATAGGAAGGATGTTTCTTCCTAAAAACTATCCGAATATAGGGGGATTTCTATGCTGGAAACATCAAGGTCAACTCGAAGCTTTTGTTTTTTAGCCAATAAATTCTCTTTCTTGAAGAGAAATTATTAAAGGCGGCGGGAGGGGGGGGAACTGTTCAAGATTTGAGTGGAAAACGCTTGGATGCTGAGAAGGTTAGTGACCAATGGGGAGGTGGGGGGAGCCGTGCAATTTAATCTAATTTAAAGATGAAATTTTTAGTGAATAGATTTATTAAAAGAGAAATGTAAAAGGTAGCTGTTTGCCTGCCTAGAGAAGGGAAAATTGCAAAGTGAATGAAGTCACCTTACTTTGTAAAAAGAAAAAAAAAATATGTTCTTTGGTGGTTTAAAAAAAAACAGGAGCACGATGTGTGAATGCTCCGTTTCTAATGTAATACCTATCTTTGGAAACTCTGGTGTGCCCTTTGAGCTGGCGCGGCCGGGAAAGCATTTCAGTTGGAGTGAAAGTGTTTACATTTCCACTGAACAGCTTGCCAAGTGCCAAATGCCCTTTCACTTCTGTAACTACGGATCTGTAATGCCGTAAAAAAAATATCTGCTTGCGCCAATCCGGTGCGTGATGTGAACGCACTCAAGTGAATGATTTAGAAGGGATGCGGCGGGGCTTAACTAGTCACAGAAGGTAAGGGTTCCCCTCGCACATATGTGCTAGTCGTTCCCGACTCTAGGGGGCGGTGCTCATCTCTGTTTCAAAGCCGAAGAGCCAGCGCTGTCCGGAGACGTCTCCGGGGTCATGTGGCCGGTATGACTCAACTCCCGAAGGGGTACAGAACGCTGTTCCCTTCCCACCAAAGGTGGTCCCTATTTTTCCATTTGCATTTTTACGTGATTTCGAACTGCTAGGTTGGCAGAAGCTGAGACAATTAATGGGAGCTCACTCCATTACGTGCCGCTAGGGATTCGAACTGCTGATCGAGAAGCTCAGCGTATGAGCCACCGCATCCCTTTTAAGTAGTGATAGAGGTATCTATTTTTTTTCAAAAGTGGGAATGTAATGCTCATGGCTTGTCCCATTGCCCCCTCCAGGTTATCCAGACACCAGAACCCTTCGTCCTGCTGACCTCCTGAAGGACAGGAACCATGGTTTCCAAACGTGTCTTCATCTGCAGCCTGGGCTCCGTCTATTTATCCCTCCTCTTCGTCTTTTTGCTCATGGATGTCTACGCCCGGCCCGCCAACAGCTCCGTCCTCAAAGAGAAAATGGCCGACAACAAAGACGATAACGAGATCCTCCCTCCGGACCACCTGAACGGAGTCAAGATGGAGCTGGATGGACATCTCAACAAAGAGTTCCACCAGGAGGTTTTCCTGGGGAAAGAGATGGAGGAGTTTGAGGAAGATTCGGAGCCGCGGAGAAACCGAAAGAAGCTGGTGGTGATTTTCTCAAAGTAAGCCCCGTCTTGCTTTAACTTAAAAATGGCTGCTTTTCTCCTAAAACAGAGGGAAGGAGGGAATATAGGAAGGCCAGTATTGGAATCTTGATTACGGCTTCCCTCCATAAGTTGGAGCCATGATTGCTCTCCAAGTTAGACAGTTCTCCAAGTTATTCTTTAGGTAAAGGTTCCCCTCGAACATGTGTGCTAGTCGTTCCCGACTCTAGGGGGCGGTGCTCATCTCCGTTTCAAAGCCNACCTCGGAAGGATGGAAGGCTGAGTTGACCTTCAGCCAGTCAGGATCGAACTCCTGGCAGTCAGCAGAGCTAGCCTGCAATCCTGCATTCTAATCACTGGGAAGGGAGGGAGAAAGGAAGGAAGGAAGATAGCAAGAGCACTATAGACTTATATACCGCTTCACAGTGCTTGTACACCCTCTCTAAGCGGTTCACAGAGTCAGCCTACCAACAATCCTCATTTTACTGACCTCGGAAAGACGTAAGGCTGAGTCAGCCTTGAGCCGGTGAGAATCGAACTGTCGGCAGCTGGCAGTCAGCAGGAGGAGGCTGCAATATTGCAGTGCTGGCAAGCTCCACATTAAGGGAGGTACCGAATGACGCAAAACTGGTAAAGCACGAGATGTTCAAAGAAATCTCAGATCTGAAATTTACCAGACGTTCGCAAAAGTAAGAGAGTGTATCCTGCCTTGGGGAGCTCACACAGGGCTGTGGGTTTTTTTCCCCTCCTTCGAGCGCAAGCAGCGTCTTGAGAGTCCGTGGCACGGGACATGAAGCGGAGTTTGGGGTTGATTTCCCTGGCTGCCTCTCTCTGGTCCTCCCTGGTTTGGGGGCTGACATGTTCGCACAACGAATATCCCTTCTCAGCTAAGAAATGCTGCAAATATTGCCCTCCAGGTAAGTGACACTGAAGATGTTGGAGCGAGGGATTCGAACACAGATCTTGTCTTCATCCACTGTTTCTACATTTATGGCTTCCCGGATTGTCACTTAAGGAGATATCTGGGGTGGTTTTTTTCTTTCAATCCTTCGCATTCGGGGGTGGCTCCATCCCAAATCGTTTTCAATTGTTTGCAAAGGGGAGAAAAATTCAGATTTTTCTGAAAAATTCTGTTTTTTCCGGCTTGAATGGAGGGGCCTTGTCTTATTCTGTCTGGTAAGTGACTCCATGAATTCTGTTTTTGCTGGAGGTGTCCTTGATTTCCTATCACTTTTTTATTAATTAATTTTAATAAAATTAATTTTATTTCAATAAAATTAATGCTGACTGCTGTATTTGGGTTTTGTGACCCAGACTGGGGTTGTCCTGGATGTTTCTCAGCCCTCCCAGTCTATCATAGCGCGTTAGAAATTCCTGGTGGTCTCCAATCCGAAGACACTCTGATTGCAGTGTGGGGAAGGGTCCCAAATTAATTAGATGTGGTCTCTTCATTTAATAATTGGGTTGGGGTGCTTTGAATGCAAGGTTGATCACTTCTGAAAGGNGGGGGGGGGGGGAGAAGACTTTGCCTTTACGCTCGACGGCCTGAAGGTTGCTGAAGCTTCTCCTCTCCTTTGAAGGCCACGTGTCCTGGGATGAATATAAAATCAAGTTCCTGGCAAGCAAAGGCATGAACGAGAAGGAAGTGGCGGACAAGATTAAGAACAACGAAGAGCTGAAGATCGACGAAGAGAGTGAGTGTCTTCCCCCCTCCCCCCTTGAACAGGGTTCGAAGCCCAGACTGTGAAAATCACAATTTTCTCCTGGTTTTCAAAGTAAAGCTTCTTAATTCTTGCTTGGCACAATGTACAAAGTCACGGACATACCTCCCCTCCTTCACTACCCTATTTCCCCGAAAATAAGACCCAACCAGAAGATAAACCCTAGCATGATTTTATCCAGGATGCTCGTAATATAAGCCCTACCCCCCAAATAAGCCCCAGTTAAGATCATCAGCCAGATGGATGCAATTAGTACCGTATTTTCCTGAAAATAAGACCCAACCAGAAGATAAACCCTAGCATGATTTTATCAGGATGCTTGTAACATAAGCCCTACCCCCAAAATAAGCCCCAGTTAAGATTGTCATCCAGACAGACGCATTTAGTACCGTATTTCCAGAAAATAAGCTCTTATTGCATCTTTTGCAGCAAAAAATAAATAAATATAAGACCCGGTCTTATTTTCTGGGAAACACGGTATATTTGCTGTTATATTTTAACCTCGGAGGGATTACTTTAATCTAGGTCACACAACTGGGATAAAGGAAGCTTTTGTGCGTTTTTTTCTGGGAGGCCTGGAGTAACGCAACCGGTTTAGGGATGTGTTGGCAAGAGCGAAGAATCTCGGCAACGGGCAACGATCACTCTAGAGTTTCTAACTTCAAACCATGGTTTGGAATCTGACCTAGGATGAGCATCTAAGGTGGCTTGGAATGGTCTTGGAGTGAAGCAGGGCATTGTTAGTTGCGAAGTTGTGTCTGACCCATCGCGACCCCATGGACAATGTCCCTCTTGGCCTTCCTGTCCTCTACCATCCTCTGGAGTCCATTGAAGCTCACGCCGACTGCTTCGGTGACTCCATCCAGCCATCTCCTTCTCCATCGTCCCCTTCTTCTCTTGCCCTCCATCATTCCCAGCATTGGGCTCTTCTCTAATGAGTCCTTCTTCCTTCTCATTAGGTAGCCAAAGTAGTTGAGTTTCCTCTTCAGGATCTGGCCTTCCAAAGAGCAGTCAGGGTTGATCTCCTCTAAGACTGACCGATTTATTAAATTAAAACTGTTTAAACTGCTTTGGGGCCTTTAAACATTTGCCTGGCCTCCCCCTATGCCTGGAGCCAGGATTGATAGAAACTGATCAAATGGAAAACTGAGATTCTAAAGAGTTCTGCAGAAAAGTTCCTCATTCTCTAATCATCCTTGTGCGTTGTGTTCAAGCCCTCTTCACTTCTTGGGGATTAAAGAGTCCCTTCCACTGCTTTTCCTGAATTTTCCAACCCAACAAGGCCGGTTCAACAGAACCGTGGTTCTTTCAAATTGGTTCTGTGTCCTGAACAGGATAAGCCCTCCGGAACCGCCAACAGAGGTGGTTTCCAAAACTCCCGGCCCACAAATTCCCGGAATCTCTTTTCGCCCTTTGTGGTGGTGAAACCAAAAACAAGCCATGTCTTGTTTCAATTCCAATCTTTGTCCAGCCATTTCTCCTAATCACATCTGAATCTGTTGCCAAAATCCCTTTGCTTTCTTTTTACATGTCCACTACATGTGGCAATATGTGCCTGGAACTTGATTGCATTTCCAGATAGGTTATTAAGCATTTTACCTACCGTATTTTTCGGAGTATAAGATGCACCGCAGTATAAGACGCACCAAGATTTTGAAGAGGCAAATTTTAAAAAAAAGTTTTTGCACTCTGCAGACCTCCCAAAAAACGGCCCGTTTTTTGCAAAAACGGGCCTGTTATTTATCAAAAAAAAAGACACGCATAGCTTTTAGGAGGCTTCCAGAGTGCCCCCGGGGGCGGGGGGGGGGGGGGGGGGGGCAAAAACAAGTAAAAACGGCCTGTTTATTGCTCACTTTTGCCCTCCCCAGCCCCC